AAAAAGTTGTTCTTTTCCAAAAAGAGGTGGAGACAGAGTCAAGAGAGATCAAGAAAGGAGGAGAATGAAGGGAGATCACAAGAATGAAAGCTTCAGGTTGGAAACACACCTCCAAAGAGGGGTAAGAATATGAATGTTGGTGGGCCAATATGAATGAATGCATCAGACACAATATCCTTTTGAATTCCAAAGCAGGAAAGGATGTGATGACAAGACGAGGGGCCGGAGAGAAGGGCCCGGGGCTCCCTACACACACAGGGGTGTGTTGGTCGCACAAACACACGCCTCCCTGTCCCCGACCCTCCTTCCTCTTCTTCCAAAGGGGGAAATAATGTAGAACATTCAAAGAGGTGAGTGAAACTGATCAGATTCAAGTTCATGGCGCTTGCTTTTATTTTGATCCCACTCTGCCTCCTAGTGGCCAACAGCTGGTATTTTGATATATCTCTATATTGGAGAACATTGTTTTAACCTAACTCTCCCCCCACGAAAAAGCGAACACACATACAGACACATATTTCTTTTCCCACCCTTGAAGGCCAAAGTTCACAACTAGGAGACAGGAAAGGCGGATGGGTCAAAATATGGGGCAACACTAAGGATTCCTTGACACACACATACACCCATATGTATCTTTCACCTTTACATATCTATATTGTAACTGTTAAGGCCTCTTAAGATTGTAACTGTGTTGTAACTGTTAAGGCCTCTTAAGATTGTAACTGTTAAGGCCTCTTAAGATCATTGAAGGCTTTCACGGCTGGAATCACTGGGTTGTTGTAGGTTTTTTGGGCTGTCTGGCCATGTTCTAGAAGCATTCTCTCCTGATGTTTCGCCTGCATCTGTGGCAGGCGTTCTAGAACATGGCCACGCAGCCCGAAAAACCGGCAACAACCTCTACAAGATTATTTTAGGAGGGAGAAAAGAGTTCATTGGGATTCCAAATGGAAATCTAATTTCAGGGTATCATGGTGAGCACTAAATGCAGACACTTCCCTCCAAAAACATGCAATTCCCCCTTCTCTTCGTAGGCCTGAGATAAGAGTCAAACGAGGCTATCGGTTGGAAGGAAAGGCAGGCGAAAGGATCTTGCAGTGTGTTTGGAAGGCGATAACACAGAAACAAAAAAAGTGTGGCGGTTTTGTGTTGCAATACACTATATACACAACATGCTGGGGTTTTATTTTTTTTGCAAGGCGGGAAGAAAGAGGAGAAAGAAAAGGCCAAAGAGAAGAATGAAGGAAAGAGTGTGGCGGGAAAGGAGTAGGGAGAGGTAGAAGAAAAGAACTCTTGTTGTGAGTTTTCTGGACTGTCTGGCCATGTTCCAGAAGCATTCTCTCCTGACGTTTCGTCAGCATCTATGGCAGGCATCCTCAGAGGTTGTGAGGATGTTGGAAACTTGGAAAATGGGGTTTATATATTTGTGGAATGTCCAAGGTGGGAGAAAGAACTCTTCTTTCATGGCTGAAATCACTGGGTTGTCATAGGTTTTTCGGGCTGTATGGCCATGTTCTAGAAGCATTCCCTCCTGATGTTTCACCTGCATCTATGACAGACACAACCTCTGCATAGATGCAGGCGAAAACATCAGGAGAGAATACTTCTAGAACATGGCCATACAGTCTGATAAACCTACAACCACCCAACTCTTATCTATTTGAGGTAGGTGCTAGGGGAAAAAACATTTTCCTAGTTTTCAACAGACCTCACAACCTCTGAGGATGCCTGCCATAGATGCAGGTGAAAGGTCAGGAAAGAATGCTTCTGGAACATGACCAGACAGCCTTGAAAACTCACAGCAACCCAGTGAGTCTGGCCATGAAAGCCTTCAACAAGAGTTCTTTCTCCCACCTTGGACATTATTCCAGATATATAAAGTTTGCAGGAGCTGGGGAAGGAAGGAAGAAGAAGGAAGGGAATGGAGTGGAAGGAAGGAAGGAAGGCAGAAGGAGGGAAGGAAGGAAGAAAGAAAAGGGAGGAAGAGAAGGATGGAAGAAAGGGTGGAAGAGCATGGAGGGAGGGAGGAAAGAGAGAAGGAAGGAAAGACAAAAGGGAAGGAAGGAAGGAAGGAAGGAAGGAAGGAAGGAAGGAAGGAAGGAAGGGAAGGAAGGGGCGAGGGAGGTGCTTCTGACAGCTTCTTCCTTTCCAAAATTGGTAGGGAAGGGAAGGGAAGGGAAGGGAAGGAAGGAAGGGAAAGGGAGGAAGGGAAGGGAAGGGAAGGGAAGGGAGGGAGGGAGGAAGGAAGGAAGGAAGGAAGGAAGGAAGGAAGAAAGGAAGGAAGAAGAAGGAGAGAGAAGGAGGAAAAAAGAGAAGGAAGGAAGAAGAAGGAAGGAAGGGGAAGGAAGGAAGGAAGGGAGGAAAGAAGGAAAGAAGGAAGAAGGAAGGGGAGAGAAAGAGAGAAGGAGAGAGAAAAAGAGAGGAAGGAAAGATAAAGGGAAAAGGGTGGAAGGGAAGAGAAAGAAGGAAGGGAAAGGAGGAGGGAGAGAAACAGAGAGAAGGAGGAAAAAGAGAAGGAAAGAAAGACTAAAGGGAAGAAAGGATGAAGGGAAGGGAAGGGTCTCCAAAGGCTCTCCAAAGAGGAGAGGCGCGCGCGCTTTCTGTCTCTTTTGCAAAACCCCTTTTGCAAAAACCCTTGGACGGTTCATGTCTTCTTCTCCCTCTCTCTCTCTCTCTCTCTCTTTCATTCTCTCTCCCCCCACAAGCCACCTCTACACCCGCCTTCCTTCCTTCCTTCCTTCCACCCTCCGTCTCCCTTTTGTGTTGGAGAGAGAGAGAGAAAAGCAGCCATATTTCAAGCTTGGGGGTGTGTGTGTGTGTGTGTGAGTGAGTGAGTGAGTGAGTGAGTGAGTGAGTGTGCGCGCGCGCAATTGTGTCTTGCCTTTTTGCTGGGCTAGATTAAGAGAGAGATAAGATAGATCTGGAAAGGGGAAGCAAGCCATCTCCGAGGAGGGCTGCTCTGCTGGCTCTGCTCTCTCTCTCCCCTTGGCTTTCCCCCCTTTCTCTCTTTCTCTCTTTCTTTCTCCTTCTCTCCGTCTTTCTCTCCTCAATGGCAACGCTCCGCCGCTCTGGTTTGCTGGCAGCCGCTCCGCCGCACACGCGGCAAGCCTTGTAAACAACGCCGCGCACGAGATTTTTCCATTTTTCCCCCAATCACAATCCACGGCCACTCTTGAAAACCTTCCAAAGAGGGAAAATTGCACACGAGAGAGGCATAGGAGGGGAGGGAGACAGAGGGAAAAAGAAGGGAATCCCTCCTTTAGAGAGGGAGCTGGCTGCAGAAGCAAGTTGTGTTTATGCTTCTCTCTCTTTCTGACCAAGTCTGGGGGTGCAAAGGAAGGAAAGGGGACCCTCCATTCACTCAGAGATCTCTCTCTCCTCGAGTGGGTGCTTTCCCAACCCTCGCCCTTCAAGACAGGATACACACACAATATTCACACACATACACACACACTCCTCTCAAGTTTGTTTATGCTTCTCTCTTTCTGCAAAACCTGGAGTTTGGAGGGTAAGAGAAGGAAGGAAAGGGGAGCCTTCATTCACTCTGAGGCCCCTCTCTTCAAGTGGGTGCTGTCCCAACCCTCCCCGTCGCCCTTCAGGCCAGGATGCACGCACTACACACACACACACCTATTAAGTTTGAGTATGCTTCCTCGCTTTCTCCAAAACCCGAGTTTGGAAGGCAAAAGAAGGAAGGAAAGGGACCCTTCACTCCCTCTGAGGCCTCTCTCTTCAACTGGGTGCTTTCCCAACGTCGCCCTTCAAGCCAAGATGCATGCACTACACACACACACCTTAAGTTTGTGTATGTTTCCTCTCTTTCTTTTGGAGGGCAAAAGAAGGAAGGGAAGGGGATCCTTCACTCTGAGGCCTCTCTTCAAGTGGGTGCTTTCCCAACCCTCCCCGTCGCCCTTCAAGCCAGGATGAATTCAGCACACACACACCTATTAGTTTATGCTTCCTCTCTTTCTGCAAAACCTGGAGTTTGGGGGCGAAAGATGGAAGGAAAGGGACCCTTCATTCCCTCTGAGGCCTCTCTCTTCAGTGGGTGCTTTCCCAACGTTGCCCTTCAAGCCAAGATGTATGCACTACACACACACACACACACACACCTTAAGTTTGTGTATGCGTCCCCTCTTTCTGCAAAACCTAGAGTTTGGAGGGCAAAAGAAGGAAGAAAAAGGGATCCTTCATTCCCTCTGAGGCCTCTCTCTTCAAGTGGGCGCTTTCCCAACCCTCCCCGTCGTCCTTCAAGCCAGGATGCACGCACTACATACACACACACACACCTATTAAGTTTGTTTCTGCTTCCTCGCTTTCTCGAAAACCTGGAGTTTGGAGGGCAAAAGAAGGAAGGAAAGGGACCCTTCATTCCCTCGGAGGTCTCTCTCTTCAAGCGGGTGCTTTCCCAACCCTCCCGGTCACCCTTCAAGCCAGGATGCACGCACTGGAGAGGCGCACACAGTGCACACACACACACCCCGCTCCACGCGTCTCCAACCCTTTTCCTTCCAGAGGCGCGACTCCTTTGCGCGCCTAGAGAAAGAGAGAAACGCAGAGCTCGAACGAATCAATGGGGCGAAGGAGGAGGGAAAGGAAAGAAAGGAAAAGGAGGGGTGGGAGAAGAGAGAGAGAGATCCAGAATGGGGAGGGAAAAAAGGGGGAACCGGGACTTGAGAGGAGAAGAGAGGCAACTTTTCTTTTTCCAGAGCGCGAGAGAAGGAAAAGAAGGGAAGGTCTTCGAAAAGTAAGCCAAGGGAGAGATGGAGTTGTTTCGGAGCGGAGGAATGAAAAGGGAACTTGGGAGAAGTAGGGTTGGAAAGGAATGAATGAATGGGAGGCGGGTCTGGGTTGGAGGTGTGCAGGGGGGTTGTATTATTTGGGTTTTCCCCCCAAAGAATGGAAGGAGGGTAGTGGAGAGCGAGGAGGACCAGCGCGCCGGAGTCCAGGTGGGAAGCCCGTGTGTGCCCGAGGAGTGCTCGCCCTTCTCGCGTGTTACTTACGTGAGAATCCCCGCTTGCTTAAGTGCTGCGGCTTGCCTTGCTTGCGGCGAGACATCGCGGAGGGGCGGCGGGAGCGCTGGCGCTGGAGATGGAGGAGAAGCAGCAGCAGCAGCAGCAACGGCGGCAGCAACGTTGGCAGTCCTCCTCCTCCTTCTTCCTCTCCTCTTCCCCTGCTTCTTCTCCTTCTTCTTCCCCGGCTCTCTTCCGCCTCCTCCTCCTCCTCCTCACATCCCTCCCTTCCCGGCCGAGCTCTTCATCGAGCGCCTTTGACATCCAAAAATAAATTAGAAATAAGAATACAAAGATGGCGCGGGGAAGATGAATGGTGGTGGTGGTAGCGGTGGTGGGAGAGCAGGCATGGCTTGGCTTTTTCTCTTTTTTCTTTTCTTTGCTTGGCTTTTTCTTTCCGTGCTTCTTTACAGAGGAGGAGGAGAAAGAGAAAGAGAGAAGGAAAGGAGAGGAAAGGAAAGGAAGAAGAGAAGAAGAGAAAGAGAGAGAGAGATGAGGGGGGGAAAATGGCAAAAGCCCCCCTGAGCTGCAAGTTCAAGTGCGGACGTGACGTTCCCGACGAACTTGAACGTCAAGCGCCTGGATGGACACAGACATACAAAACATGGGCAGGGCGAGGAGGAGGAGGAGGAGGAGGAAGAGGAGGAGGAGGCGGGAGCCCAGGGAGGGGGAGAGAGAGAGAGAGGGAGGAGGGAGAGAGAGAGAGAGAGAGAGCAGCGCGCCACGCCAATGGACGGACACTCCGCGGGGGATGGACAGGGCAGGAGCCCCAGAAGAGAAGAGAAGAGGAGGGAGAAGGAGGGAGGGAGGGAGGGAGAGAAAGAGGCAGGCAGCCCGGAGGAGGCGGAGGTCGAAGCCGAGGAGGAGGAGGAGGAGGAGGAGGGAGAGGCAGGCCGGCGGAGGGAGCAGCAGCAGCAGCAGTAGGGCAAGCCAATGGCCAGCGGGGAGGAGGAGGAGGAAGAAGAGGAGGAGGAGGCGCACGCCGGGCAGGAGCAGGAGGAGGAGAAGCAGGAGGAGGAGGGCGCCAAGGGGAAGCCCAGTGCCCAATGGCAGGGGCTCAAGTCCAAAGCACCTGGAGGGCCGAAGTTTGCCCATGCCTGGGAAAAAGGGAGAGTAGGGAAGGTATCTGGGTGGGTGGGTTGGGGAGAGCCCCTCCGAAGACTTTAAGAGGGTGCCCGGAGAGGAAAGCGCCCCAAAGAGGTGTGCGTCAAAGAGGGGAAAGAGTGGCCAGGGAAAGAAAGGGGAAAGAAAGGCGGGTTGTGGGCACCTGGGAGGAGGGAAAATAGGGCGACGGGACACTCCTAGAAGAGGAGGAGGAGGAGAGGGAGAAGGGCTCGAGGTTTTCAAAGCGAACCCCCTCCTCTTTTTTTTATATAAAATCCATAAAAAGCTTCCATTCTTCCTTACTTTTTCCTTCCTCTTACTTTTCCCTCCCTACCTTTCCTTCCTTTCTCTTACATTTTCATTCCTTAATTCTTTCCTTCCATGCTTGCTCATACCTTTTCCTTCATTCCTATTTCCTTTCCCTTTTTCCTTTCCATTCTTCCTCTCCACCTTTTCCTCCCTCCTACCTTCCTTCCTTCCTCCTTTCCTCTTACTTTCCCTCCCTCTACCTTCCTCCTTCCTTCCTTCCTTCCTTCCTTCCTCTCCTTTCCTTCTTCCTTCTTTCTCCCTCCCTACCTTTCCCTTCTTTCCTTTCTTTCTCTTACCTTTTCATTCCTTCTTTCCTTCCTTGATCTTTTCCTTCCATGCTTGCTCTTACCTTTTCCTTCATTCCTCTTCGCTTTCCCTCACTCCCTTCCTTCCTTCCCTTCATCCTTTCTTCTTACTTTTCCCTCCCTTACTGCCTTTCCCTTCTTTCTTTCCTTTCTTTCTCTTACGTTTTCATAGCTAAATTCTTTCCTTCCTCGATCTTTTCCTTCCATGTTTGCTCTTACCTTTTCCTTCATTCTTCTTTCCTTTCCCGTTCTCCCTTCCTTTCTTCCTCTCTACCTTTCCCTCTCTCCCTCCCTACCTTTCCTTTCCTTCATCCCTTTCTCCCTTTCTTCCTCTCTTTCCCTACGTTTCCCCTCCTTTCTTCCTTCATCCTTTTCTCCCTTTCTTTCTCCCTCTCCCTCTCTACCTTTCTCTCTCTCCCTCCCTACCTTTCCCTTCCTTCCTTCCTTCCTTCCTTCCTTCCTTCCTTCTCCTTCCCTCCCTTCCTCTTACTTTTTCTCCCTCCTCCTTCCCTTCTTTCTTCTTTCTTTCTTCCTTCCTTCTCTTTCTTTACCTTTTCATATCTTAATTCTTCCCTTCCTCGATCTTTTCCTTCCATGCTTGCTCTTACCTTTTCCTTCATTCCTCTTTTCTTTCCCTCTCTCCCTTCCTTTCTTCCTTAGATTTCCCTCTCTCCCTCCCTACCTTTCCCTTCCTTCCTCCCTCCTTTCCACTTACTTTTCCCCCCCTACCTTTCCCTTCTTTTCTTCCTTTCTCTTACCTTTTCATTCCTTAATTCTTTCCTTCCTTGATCTTTTCCTTCCTTCTTTCCTTGCTCTTACCTTTTCCTTCATTCCTCTTTCCTTTCCCTTTCCCCCTTTCCTTCCTTAGATTTCCCTATCTTCCTTACTACCTTTCCCTTCCTTCCTTTATCCCTTCCTCTTACTTTTCCCTTCCTACCTTTCCCTTCCCTTCCTTCTTTCCTTCCTTCCTCTTGCCTTTTCATTCCTTTCTTTCTTGCTTGCTTGTTTGCTCTTTCTTTTTCCTTCCTTCTTGACTTCCTTCCTACCTACCTTTTCCTTTCTTCCTTCTTCCAATTACTTTTCCCTCCTTTCCTTTCTCTTACCTTTTCCTCCCTTCCTTTCTACCTTCCCTTCTTTACTCTTGCCTTTTCATTCCTTTCTTCCTTGCTCCTTCCTTTTCCTTCCTGCTTTCCTTCCTTCCTTCCCTCCTTCCTACCTACCTTTTCCTTCCTTCATCCAATTACTTTTCCTTCTCTTCCTTCCCACCTTTCCCTCCCTTCCTTCCTCATACTTTTTCCTCCCTCCCTTGCTCTTACTTTTTTTCCTTCCTTACTTCATTCCCCTTCATTTTCCCTCCTTCCCTCCCTTCGTACCTTTCCCTTCCTTCCTTAATTCCTTCATTGCTTGCTTGCTCTTACCTTTTCCTCCCTTACCCTTCTTTCCTTGCTCTTTCTTACCTTCCTTCTTTCCTCTCCTCTTACTCACAAGCGTTTCAAAAGTCTCTGTGAGGTGACCAAAGGGAGAGGTGAGGGGTTTGGGGAGAGGAGGCGTGGGAGGGGAGGGGGGGCTAAGCCCGAGGGGGCGCTTGCTTGGGGGGGGGGTGGTCTCTAAGCAGTGAGATCATGTCTGCGCAGGAAGAGTGTAGAAGTGGTACAATAGGATATAGCAGCCATGAGCAAACTTTGGCCCTCCAGGCGTTTTGGACTTCAACTCCCACAATTCCTAACAGCCTCCTGGCTGTTAGGAATTGTGGGAGTTGAAGTCGAAAACACCTGGAGGGCCCAAGTTGGCCTCCATTCCTGGAACCAGGCAACGTTGCCACATGTCCTGTACAGGATCCCCACTCCCTCTCCACTGGGAAGGGGCTGCTCTTCCACAAGAGAGGCCCTCCAGGACCCCCTTCTCTCTCTCCTTTCCCAATCCTGAGCCTTTTTCCCTATTCCCAGGGCTCCACGTGGGATTTAACGCGGGTTAGCAACCCTTTGAAGAGTGTCGGGCGGTAGTATATAGCTAGGAGGTTAAACCTGGTGACCGAAATTGTGTCAGACAAGATCCAGGGGCCTCGTGACTGGCTTTTCCCTTTCTTTTTGAAGAAGTAAAATATTTGTAAGGATGGGTAAGAGAAAGAGACACACACTCTAAATGGGTCCGACATCAACCCGCTTTAGGAATCACTCTGTTGCAATCCAAAACCTTCAGAGATGGCCACTCTCCCGGGCAGCAATACATCCTGCTTACCGCCCTCTTTAACGGGGGATTAAACCCTTAGCTGTGAATTTTCCGAGCCAGGTTCCAGAAGCATTCTCTCCTGACGTTTCACCCACACCTATGGCAGGCATCCTCAGAGGTTGTGAGGTCTATTGGAAATTAGGCAAGTGGACTGTGTGTATATTTATATCTGTGGAATAATGTCTAGGGTAGGAGAAAGAACTCTGGTCTGCTTGAGGCAGGTGTGAATGTTGCAGCCGGCCACCTTGATTAGCATCAAATAGCCTTGCAGCTTTAAAGCCTGGCTGGTTGCTGCCCGGGGGGGGAATCCTTTGTTATATCTGTGGGATGTCCAGGGTGGGAGAAAGAACTCTTGTTTTCTTGATGCCAGTGCGTCGGCCACCTTGATTAGCGTCCAATGGCCTCGCAGCTTCAAAGCCTGGCTGGTTGCTGCCCGAGGGAATCCTTTGTTATATCTGTGGCATATCCAAGGTGGGAGAAAGAACTCTTGTCTGCTTGAGGCAGGGGTGAATGTTGCAGTCGACCACCTTGATTAGCATCGAATTCCCTCGCAGCTTTAAAGCCTGGCTGGTTGCTGCCCGAGGGGGGAGTCCTTTGTTATATCTGTGGGATGTCCAGGGTGAGAGAAAGAACGCTGGTCTGCTTGAGGCAGGGCTGAACATTGCAGTCGGCCACCTTGATTAGCGTCGAATAGCCTTGCAGCTTCAAAGCCTGGCTGGTTGCTGCCCGAGGGGAATCCTTTTTAATTATATCTGCGGGATGTCCAGAGTGGGAGAAAGAACTCTTGTCTGCTTGACGCAGGTGTGAACGCTGCAGCCGGCCACCTTGATTAGCATCGAACAGCCTTGCAGCTTCAAAGCCTGTCTGGTTGCTGCCCGAGGGAATCCTTTGTTATATATATGGGATGTCCAAGGTGAGAGAAAGAACTCTTATCTGCTTGAGGCAGGTGTGAATGCTGCAGTCGGCCACCTTGATTAGTATCGAATAGCCTCGCAGCTTCAAAGCCTGGCTGGTTGCTGCCCGAGGGGGGAATCCTTTGTTGGGAGGTATTAGCTGGCCCTGATTATTATTTTTTTTACTGCTCTGATTACTGTTACTGAACCCAACAAAGGATTCATCCCCAGGCAGGAAGCAGCCAGGCTTTGAAGCTGCCAGGCCATTAAATTCTAATTGATTGTTATCTGGATTTTTTTTTTAGTGTTGCTTTTTATTTACTGTCCCGATTTTAGAGCTTTAGCTTTCTCAGAGCGCAGATAGGGCTGTCATAATCCCGAGTTCATCGCGCGATAGTACTGGGAAGAAACTGGGGATGTTTTCCGAGTGGGAAAGTGGAAAGGGGTTATTTTCCCAGTAGACTTTTGTGGAAAATCGAATTGTTTGCGAGTTAGTATTCTTCTCAAACCTTGTGAATGTCCAAATCTAACTCCAAACGAGGTTGTGTGTGTGTGAAACTGTCCTGGACGCCTCCCTTCATACGTAAACAAACAGCAGTAATTCAGATTGTCGGGAAAGTGCGGCTAGAAGAGAGGGAACAGCTACCTGTTGTGCTTTCCTTTAGGGAATCCCCATTGACTTGCCCACCTTTGCATTTGGCATTGGGAAAGAAAGCAAACAGAGGAACCCAGGGACACTTCTTTGGAGAAAGGTGTAAGGAGGATGGATTTTGCAATTTTTGAACTAGGAAAATCGCGGTTTGTGCACTTATGGTGATCAGGGAGAGGCCGAAGAGGCCCCCCTCGTGCTCCCCAAAAATGTCAAGGACAAACCCCACTGGTTCCCCGAGGTGGAGAGGCACCTGAAGCGAACGCGGGTGGAAAAGACCGAGTGGGGTGAAGCTGATCGTGGAGACAGACAGGCAGGGAAGGAGGAAAACACCTGCTTACTCGCCACCTTTCCTGAAATGGATGGAGAGAAAGAACAAGGAAGAGAGAGAAAGA